GTGTAGGGGGCGGGTTTCTAGGATATATCCTTTGGTTGGTTGATGATGCATGAAGGGGATTGGAACCATGGCAATGAAATGATATACGATGGAATGAATGTAAAACTAAAGTTCTCTCATGTAAACATGTAAACTATCATATAATTCACAATAAAACATAAAAAAAAAGAACAGGCAATTTGTAAAAGAAGTACATAACCTGTTGTTCTTGCTTTTAAGTGCTGTTGAGTCAGTAGATACATGAAAACATGCTTAATTTTATTAGTAATAAAATTTAAAATGCCTTTTTAAAATCAATTATATTAGCAAAGACTGAAAAGGTCACTAATGTCCAATGCGGTTAAATATGTGGGCAATTAGTCACTTTCTATACTGTTGGTGTATATGTAATTGGAAAAATTATTTTAATAGGTAATTTAGCAGTCTATAACATTTCTTAGTATGTGTTCCCTCACTCCTAGCAATTCTACTTATAGGAATTTTCCCTAAGGCAATAATAGAACTAGTGTGTAAAGTTGTAGGTACAGATATCTTCATTACAGTGTAACTTGTAATACAAAAACAGTCTAAATGTCTGCCACAGAATCATTTGTATATATTACAAAGGATATGTACTGGCATGGGAAATGGCTCATGTTAATAGTAATATGTTTTAAGAACTGGATCATAAAAGTGTATGTATAGTTTGATATCTTTCATGTAAAATAGAATGATTGCTAGTATTCTATATAATTTTAAGCCTCACTTACATGAAGACACACCAAGATGAGAAAGGGCATATAAAATGTTTAACACAGTGCTTAGCACATAGTCATCAAAAAATTGCTTTTGTTGTTATTATAAGCATGCACTAGTTATTAATTGTTCTACTATTAGCTACTGTGCTAAGTACTGGGAATGTTATGATAAATAAAATTATGCCTTTAAGTAATTATCTGAGATCATCATTCCTTATTATTTACCCATTCTGTAATATGGTTGGCTCTCATATGAATTGTTGAAATATAAAGTTGTTACTGGTACTAAAGCCACCAAAATATTGGTTTGAATTATTATTCAAAGTTTCTTACGTTTCACCCAAAAGCTAAAACCACAAAAATAGTTTTAACATTCTCTTCATTTCAAGATGAAGATGGAACCAGCTTGAATTCAACTATCTTGGCAGCACTCCGAAAAATGCAAGATGGCTATTTTGGTGGGGCAAGGTAAGTGACCTCTACACACTCTTTAGTCAAATTAAATACTATTTGGGATGGCTATGGTAATGACAGGAGTCCTGGTATGGCACTCTAGGATAAAGCAGTAGACCACAAGATTGCCAGTTCAAATTCACCAGCTGCTCCTTGGAAATTCCATACATGGTTGCTATGGGTCAGAACCAACTCAATGGCACTTAATAACAAAAACAACATGGTAATGGCAGACTTATGATACCTTTCTGTGTATTCTCAACAACATAGTCCCATCCTTCTTTGACAGATTGGGTCAAGGAATTAATGCTATAGTTGTTGTTGTTAAGTGTCATTGTGTCGATTCTGACCCATAACGACCCTGTATAGGGTTTCCGAGGAGCAGCTGGTGAACTTGAACTGCCTACCTTGCAGTTCAAATGGCTTTGTAGTCTGGCACATGAGTCTACAGCACCACACCAGGACTCCATAGAGAGAGGTTAAAATTGTTTTCCACCTTGTTTCTTGCCTAAATCAGTTGTCATTGAGGTGATTCCAACTCATGTGTGTCAGAGTAGAATTAGATTCCATAGAGGTTTCAATGGCTGATTTTTCTTTGCCTGTTATTGTTAAGTGCCATCAAGTCGGGTCCAATTCATAGCAATGCTGTATGGGGTTTCCACATAAATTCAGTGTGTCCAAAAACTGATTCTTTTTCTCTTTTTTTCCCCTAGTGACACCAGCATATTCAATTCTGGTTATTTTTTCTCTTTTTCTTTTTAAAAATATCAAGCTTACAGAGAAATTTGCCATAATAGAAATGAACACCCTTTCTCAAGATTCACTTGTTAACATTTCATCCCATTTTTGTGTTCTGGTTCACATTACCTTCCTTCTTCCTTTCTGTTCCCTCCTTCTCTCTTGCACATATATATGCACTCACACACACACACATAAGTATATATAATAAATATGCATATACACATTTTTATTCTGAACTTTGAAAGTTAGTTGTAGACATCATGACTCTTCACTTCTAAATCAGTTTATATTTTCTAAGAACAAGGGTATTCTCATATTGTTGCTGTTAGGTGTCCTCAAGTTGGTTCTGACTCACACACACTACAGAATGAAATAACTGCCTGGTCTTGCACAACCTTAGTAATGATTGTTATGTTTGAGCTCATTGTTGCTGCCACTGTGTCAATGCATCTTGTTAGGGGTCTTCCTCTTTTTCACTGACCCTCCATATTTCTAAGCAAAATATCCTTTTCTAGAGACTGGTTCTTCCAGGTAATATGTCCAAAATATGAGAGAGAAGTCTCACCATTCTTGACTCTAAAAAGCATTCCAAGACAGTCCATGGTACGTCCTATATTCTTCAGCAATATCATAATTCAAATGCATCAATTCTCCTATAGTCTTCCATATTCAGCTCTCACATGCACATGAAGTGACTGTAAAAGACCAAGACTTGGGTCAGGCACAGCTTAGTCCTCAAAGTGACATATTTGTTCTTGAACAGTTTAAAAAGGTCTTTTACAGCAATATATCATTTGATTCCTTGACTGCTACTTCCATGAGTGTTGACTGTGGCTCCAAGAAAAACGAAGCCTTTGACAACTGTAATCTTTTCTACTCTTATCATGATATTTATTGGTCCCATTGTGTGAGGATTTTTGTTTTCTTTACATCGAGTTGTAATCCGTACTGAAGGCTGTTGTCTTTGACCTTCATCAGCAAATATTCCAAGTCCTCTTCACTTTCAGAAGGCAAAGTTATGTCACCTGCATATTGCAGGTTGTTAATGAATCTTCCTTTAATTCTGACACCATGTTCTTCTTCATATAATCCAGCTTCTCAGATTGAATAAATATGGTGAAAGGACACAACCCTGTTGCACTCTTTTCCTGATTATAAACTAATGAGTATCCCCTTGTTTTTTTCCTAACAACTGCCTCTTGGTCTATTTATAGGTCATGAGCACAATTAAGTGTTCTGGAATACCCATTCTTCACAATATCATTCAGAGTTTGTTATGAGTCATACAGTCGAATGGCTTTGCATAGTCAATAAAGCAAAACTAAGTATCTTTCTGGTATTATCTACTTTCATCCAAAATCCATTTGATGTCAGCAATAATATCCCTAGTTCCACACCCTCTTATGGATCCAGCTTGAATTTCTGGCAGCTGCCCATCAATGTGCTGTTGTAATTTTTAAATTAGCGTCAACAAAATTTTGTTTGCATGTGATATCAATGACACTGTTCAATGATTTCTGCATTCTGTTGGGTCACTTTTCTTTGGAGTTGGCACAATTAAGGATTTGACTTAGACCAGTGAGTGCCTCTAGGGCTGCATAGTTTGTTGAAACATTGCTATATGTATTCCATCAATTCCTGGAGACTTGTGTTTTGCAAGTGCCTTCAGTACTGCTTGGACTTCGTCCTTCAGTACCATTGGTTCTTTATCATGGTACCTCTTGAAATGATTGAACATCGACTGATTCTTTTTGGTACAGTGACTCTGTGTAGTCCTTCCATCTTTTGATATTTTCTGCATCACTCAATATTTTGCCCATTTGGTCTTTGATTGTTAGTATCTAATGCATCAAATATGTTCTTGAGATGGTCTCTAAATTAAGGTAGAATATACTTAAGGTGATATTTTAGCTTCCATGGACTTACTTTCATTTTCTTCAACTTCAACCTGAATTTCTATATGATCAATTAATAGTCTGTTGCACATCTGGCCCCCTGCCTTATTTTGGCTGATGATATTAAGTTTCTCCATTGTCTGTTCCCACACATGTAACCAATTTGATTTCTGTGTATCCCATCTGGTGAGGTCCGGGTATATGATTGCCTTTTATGTAATTTAAAAAAAGATATTTGCAATGAATAAATCATTGGTTTTGCAAAATTCTATTGTGCAATCTCCAGCACCATTTCTATCACCAAGATCATATTTTTCAACTATTGATCCTTCCTATTTTTTTCAGCTCTAGCATCCCTATCATCAGCAATTATCAGCACATTTTAATTGCATGTTTGATTAATGTCAGACTGAAGAAATTGGTAGAATTCTTCAATTTCATCAACACTGACTTTAGTGGACAGTGTGTAAATTTGAATAATAGTCATACTAACTGGTCTTCCTTGTACATGTATGAATATTATCCTATCACAGACAGCATTGTACTTCAAGATACCTCTTGAAATGTTCTTTTTGATGACGAATATGATGCCATATCTGTCATTCCTCGCATAGTAAACCATATGATTGTCTGATTCAAAATGGCCAATACCAGTTCATTTATGCTCATTAATGCCTAGACTATCATTCTTTATTTATTCCATTTCATTTTTGACAATTTACCATTTTACTAAATTCATATGTCATGCATTCCACATTCCAATTATTAATGTATGTTTTTAGCTGTTAATTCTCATTTTGAGTTGTGCTTCTACAAATGAAGGTCCTGAAATCTTTAGTCAGTCCAAATCATTAATGCCAACTCTACTTTGATGAGGCAGCCTTTCCCCAGTTATATTTTGAATGAGTTCCAACCTGATGGACTCATCTTCTAGCACTATAGCTGACAATGTTCCACTGCTGTTCTAAGGTTTTCAGTAGCTAAACATTCCAAAGGTTTTCAATAGCTAAACATTCTGAAGTGGTTCACCTCTCATTTCTAGTCTATCTTGGTCTGGAAGCACTACTGAAACCGGTACCCCATGTGTGGCCCTTGTTGTTGTTGTTGTTAAGTACCAGTGAGTCAATTCCAACTCATAGCAATCCTGTATGGGGTATCTGAGGAGTGGCTCCTGTATTTGACCCGCCAACTTTGTGGTCCAATGTTTATCATACAGTACCACACCAGGGACTTATAGCATCACAGCAACACACAAACCACCACAGTTCAACAAATTGACATACAAGTGGTGGATTGTCCCATATAAATACAATATGATCATAATACTTAGAAAATTAATATAGGCATTATCTAATACAGAGTCCATATTAAAAATTACACAGTTGTCTTAATAATGTTTTTCATATATTTTCCCCTCTATCCAGGATTCAGTCAAAGATCACACACTGGCATATAGTTGTCATATCTTTTTGTCACTCTTCAATATAGAACACCTCCCTAGCTTTTTGTCAATCTTTCATGACAGTTTTCATTACAGTTTTGAAGAATGTGGGTCAATTGTCTGACAGAATGTCCCTCAATTTTGGTATATCTAATAATTTCCCCATGATTACTTTCAGGCTGTATATTTTATTCAGGGAAATTACCTATGTGTTGTGTCCTTCACAGTACATTACATTGTTGTTGTTAAGTGCTGTCAAGTCAGATCCAACTCATAGAGAGCCTGTATAGGGTTTCCAAGGAGTGGTTGTTGAGTTTGAACCACCAACCTTGTGGTTCAAACAACCTTGCAGTCCACTGCTTTATCCCATAGCACCATACCAGGTACTTTGTCTCATTATTTGTGATGTTAACCTTGAACACTTGGTTAAAGTTGTGTCTTCCAGATTTCTTTGTATTGTTTCCCCAACAGTCTTTTAGCAAATAAGGTTAGATTCTGATGATAATTCTTGCATGAATAGTTATTATTAATGGCATTATAAATGATGATTTTGTGTTTCCATCATTCTGTACACATTTATTAGTTGGAATCCTTCTATAAGGAACTACACAAGAGTAAAAGGCAACAGAGATAAAGGCTATTACATAAACAATCCTGCAATAATAGTAATGTTGTTGTTGTTGTTAAGTGCCGTCGAGTCGGTTGTGACCCATACTGACCCTGTACAGGGTTTCCGAGGCTATGAATCTTTACGGGAGCAGAAAGCCTCATCTTTCTCCCTCGGAGCAGCTGGTAGTTTCAAACCGCTGACCTTAAGGTTCACAGCCCAATTTGTAACCACTACACTACCAGAGCTCCTTGCAATAATAGTAATGGCAATAATTAAAAGTGGATACATAGGTAGATATACAAGCTGAACAGGTGTGGTAAGTGTATAGTATGAATATATGGAATGAACCCAAGAGTATATACAGGTTTGGCAGAGGATATTACTTGCATATGGGTTTGTATGAGGGGGGTTTTAAAAGTTTGTGGAAAATGGAATGAAAAGATAATGGAATTTTTTCACAACCTTTTTGAAGTTCACTTGTATGTGCTGCAAATAGATCCATGTGTATACTATGAGCACACAGAGGACAAAGTTATGAGAGCTTCTTAGCTATCATCAAAAACCTTGAGGGACTGAGACACTGAGCTTTGAGGCTTGGAATGATAGGCTTAGAGGACATCAGCTTAACTGGCATAATATAGTCAGTCCACAAAGACAGTGTTCTACATCTTATATTGATGAGTAGCAATTTGGGTCTTAAAGCTTGTAAGTGGCCACCTAAGATCAATTATAAGGAGCTCTGGTAGCATGGTGGTTACGAGTCGGGCTGCTAACCTCATGGTCAGCAGTTCAAAACTACTAGCAGTTCCATGGGGAAAATATGAGGCTTTCTGCACCCATAAAGATTTATGGAAACCCTATGCAAGGTCGCTATGAATTGGAACTGACTCAATGTCACTTAGCAACAACAAAGATCAATTATTGGCTTCCTTCCATCTGGAAGAAAAAAGAGTGAAGAAAATCAAAGACTCAAGAAAACATTTAGTCCAAAGGACTATTAGACCACACAAGCCACTGCTTCTATTAAGCCTGAGATCAGACAAACAAGATGGTTCAAGGCTACCACTACTGATTGCACTAATCAGGATCACAATAGAAAGTACTGGACAGAGTGAGAATAAAATGTTTTGTTTTTACCATATATTTAGTCATGTAGGAAAATAGTATAATGGTAGTGGAAGAAAACAAAACTGTCTGATGGCAGATAGTAAATCAATAATTATGGCCCTTAACCAATGTACTAACCTAACTATTTACAATGTATACTATATCTAGGATTGCTGTAAAATTTCACTCATCTATAAATATTACTAATCCCCCAACAAAGCATTTTAAGTCTCCTTTTATCATTAATATTGTATTGTTTTTTAAAAAAGAATTTCACAGTCAATCCAATAGACTACTGGAACATATGAACATCAGTCTCCATGTGCCTGGCTACCACTACCAACTGCCCTGAAAGGGATCACATTAGAGGATCCCAGCTAGAGTGGGATAAAATGTGGAACAAAACTCAAAATTATTTCATAACAATAATAACAAACAGGTTTACTGGTCAGAAAGAGACTGGAGGAAACTGAAATTATGACCCTCAACCACAGGTCTGTAAAGGAACTTACCCTCTTAGCCCAATTATCAGCCAAATAGTAAATAGGCTTACAGTGGGGGTAAGAGGAGCAACAACACTATAACAAGATATACTCACCATTGAATGGTCAATCGTTCAAAATCAAAAGGGCAGTATATGCCTAAGGACAAAGTTGAGAAGAGATAGGAAGGTAGATGGAATGTAAATAGGAACCACAGGGAGGAGCCAGGAGATCTGTGGTTGCATGGAGGGGATTGTAATCATTGAGATGAAACAAAGTACATGATTTGTAAAGCTGATGATCTTGTCTGTAAACCTTCACTCAATTTACAAGAAAAAGTTTAAAAACTAATAATAAATTTTTAAAAATGGATTTCCCCTGATTTTCTGTTTTCCATCTATCCCTTGTCAGGGTTCAAACAGGTAAATTGTCAGAGTTCTTAACAACGTCTTGCTGCACGTACTTAAGCTTCATGGACCCTGGGCCTGAGGGTAAGCTGTGCATTGATTATGATGACACTGAGCTGGAATCTGGTGACTGGATGGATGACTTTGATTCAACTAGTTATGGTAAGGAGATTTTATAAAAGCACTGACTTTGTTGGACAAGATTACAAAATATTGACTGCATTTTACTTAATATTTCTTGCTGCTAGCAGTCTCACAGTGTACCATCCTCACTCCTATCTAATATACTCAGATTTCTACTTTACTTTTCATCCCTGTACTTACCTTTGGTTTTTGGCTAATATCCCTGTGGTATTTGTGGAGTTATGACATTGGACAATGCTTCAGTAAGGTTATAGAAAAATGACTGTGATTTTGAAATGGGAAGAAGCACTGGTGATTGAGAGATATTTTTATCAGGGATAAAATATGTAGTAAGAAAAGTATACAGTACTGCTTTTAACATTAAAAAGGGTAATAATATAACATTTATCTGAGTTTTTAAAAATATAATATCAGAGGCGCATACCAAAACCACTTGGGGTAGTTTGTAAAAACATTCAGGATACCTGTTGTTTTCATTGGGACTCCTGGTTTGGCACTGTAATATCAGCACTGAACTATGAACCACAAGGTTGGCAGTTCAAATGCACCACCTATGAGTCAGAGTCAACTGGATGGCACTTAACAACAACAAAAACATTTTTTTCATAGAGGACAGTAGTGTAGGATTCTCTACACAGTCTGTGTGAGAAACCTAGGTTTAATTCCCAGCCAGTGCACCACAAGCATAGCTACAGCTTGTTTGTCAGTAGAGACTTTTGTGTTGCTGTGATTTTGGATAGGTTTCAGTGGAGTTTCAAGATTAACACAATGAAGAAGGGTCTGACAATCTACTTCCAAAAATCAATCAGTGAAAACCTTATGGATCACAACAATCTGATAATGTTGTGCATGGGATTGCCATGAGTTGGGGGTCAAATCAGCAGCTAACAACAACAAATTGTTTTCATACTATAAAGTAGACAAAATCAAGAACAAAATCTTTTGTGTTGCTAAGAATATGAAGATAATATAGTGAGAAAAGGGAGTCAGATGATATAGTCAGAAACGGTAGAAAGATAAGGCTTTCTACTTCCTTGAAGATTTTAAATACAGGGTTGCTATGAGTCAAAATTGACTCCACAGCACTTAACAACAATAGTGAGAAAATATTTGGGGGGCATGGGTTAAAAATGACTGAGAAACACTGCCTTAAAATGTTAAAGCATTCATCTATCTCTGGTAGCGCAGTGGTTAAGAGTTGGGCTGCTAACCTCAAGGTCAGCAGCTCGAAACTACTAGCCATTCCACAGGAGAAAAATGAGGCTTTCTACTCCCATAAAAATTTACAGCCTCGGAAACCCTACACAGGGTCACTGAATAGGAACCAACTCCACACACACAACTACCACCACCAAACAGGAAGAGCATTAAATTATTTGAATTCCAAAGAGAGAAAGACCACTATGAGAATTATTCTTCTAATCCTGGTGTGACACTGTAGGATAAGCACTGGACTGCTAATCCCAAGGTCATCAGTTCAAAACTACCATTTAGTCCTTGGAAACCCTATATGGAGTCGCTATGAGTTGGAACCTACTCATCAGCACTTAACAACAATAAACTATAATAAGGCTCACCTCCATTCACTGTTTTGGTATTTGATCATTAGTTTGTGTCTTGAGGCAGTCAATTTCTTTGACTCGGAGTCCTGGTGTGGTGCTGCAGGATAAAGCACTGGATTGCAAGTTCAGTGGTACAAACTCACCAGCTGCTCCTCAGAAACCCTACACAGGGTCAGTATGAGTTGAAAATGACTCAACGACACTTAATAACAACAACAAAAGTTTCTTGAGAGCATAGGAACTATATCTTCTTCACCACTGAAACCTCAGCACTTAGTACAGCACCTGATGCATATCATACAATAAATATTTGGTGAATGAACAAATGAAGTGATTAAAAAGACCAGTCTGTGGCTAATAGTCCCTTCTACTCCATGCTCACATGGAGATAGTTCTCACATTTACAGCTGTAGCTGACATTTGTGAAATTTGGTTTTAACTAGGCTCAATGATTAGTGAAAGGTTTTTATCCTTCCCCAACCCTTCTGCACAAAATCTCATATTAGTGCGATATGAAGAGTTCTGTTTTCTGCGTTTTTCACCACCACTACCATTGCTGCCACTACTATCACACACACACACACAAGTGTACACATACACATATTATGGAATGCTTGCTGCACCTGACCTATAATAAATTCCTATTGCTTTGAGAGTCCCTAACATTGTCTAAACAAAATTGAAGAAGAGGTTGTTGTTAAGTGCCGTCGAGTCGGTTCCGACCCATAGTGACCCTGTACAGGGTTTCTGAGGGTGTAAATCTTTACTGGAGTAGAAAGCCTCATCTTTCTCCCGCGGAGCGGCTGGTAGTTTCGAACCGCTGACCTTAAGGTTCGCAGCCCGATTCGTAATCACTACGCTACCAGAGTCCTGGCCATAGTTTCTGAATCTTAAAGCTATGAGACTGCAGAACCATGAGCTTCAAACAACTTACTTCTTGTGCTATGGTATGCGCACAGGAGTCATTCTGTTTGTTGAGGTGAGGTAGATTATAAAGTGCTGAAATGTTCTTTTTTTTTTTTCTTTTTCCCTACCCCACTAACATTGTAGCTCACTGTGGTGATGGAGTTACTCATTATTTAGATCACCTTTTGACACTCTGCTCCCCATATTAAACTACCCCCAATCTCACAGAAGGTAGGGCTAGATTGGCTCCAAGCTGCCATCCAAAATAACTGCAACTTAATGTCCTTGGTGACCAAGGCCAAGGAGTTGTAGGTACAGAATGAGTAATACTATGACTCACTGGAGTCAGACATAATATGAATAACAGGATGAGAGTGGGACATTAATTATAATGTAAACAGGAACTTTAATTTGTTCAATGCTTTATCCCCAGCATCTAGGACAACATTTAGACTCTATAGATAGTCAATGAATATTTATAAAATTAATTAATTGGTTATAATTTGCAGTGGATAGTGTTATTTACTCTGGTTTAAACAGTAACCTGGTGCAAAGAGGTAGAACAAAAGACAGGGAGCACATTCAATTTTAACAATAATGTACTAAAATGGTGGAGTTTTTCCTTTTAAATAAATTGCTCCTTGGGAAATAATTTCATTTAAAGATAAAACATTGTAAAACTGTTACAACAATAGCCATGCAATGAAGAAAGAGATAGTCTCCCTTACGCCAACTGTAACAATAGCCATGCAATGAAGAAAGAGATAGTCTTCCTGACGCCAACTGTAACTTGTACAGTCAATTTTTCCAGGACTGTGGAGATGTGTTTCTCAAATACAGTACTCATTCTTCAACAATTCTCCTCCCCATGACCACTATCTTCCTTCAGTAGTATTTACAGTAGAGGCTGTCTTCTACTACACATTGTCAGGAAAAGTCATGTTTCCTAAGACATAGGCAATGCCTTTATGATAGCAACATATGAAGGGAGAGGAGGAATTCTTAGGTACATCTAGAGGACTTAAATATTATGTTTCAGTTATTATATAAATAATGAAAATGATTATACAGATGAGAATGATTGAGATGCATGTTCTTGCTACCTAAAATTTTATTGACTGTTCATTACTAACTAAAGATATTAAGCATGAACACTGGGAAATAATTTAACATTTAGAAGAGAAAAGTTTTACAATACCCTTTGAGTATGCTTCCCTAAGAAAGGGGTTATGCAAATAGATGAACATTACTAAGTTATACTCCTAGAATGTGAATTAGGAAACTTGAAATTAAATCTCAGCTCTGCTACTTAATTGCCTTCAGAGGTTATTTGAGCTCTGTGTCTCTCTTTCTGTATCTGTAAAATGATGAGAATTATGAGCAAATCTGTCTTGAGAGGTTATGGTAAGTATTTCAGCAATAGACTGGAAGTAAAAATCTTAGGAATATCTCCAATTTGGTCAGCCACTACATTATTTTATTTCCTTGAATCCTTTCTCTCTTTTTCTCAAGTGAAATTCATCTGCGAGATAGTCTCCTAGGAGAGTCCAGACAACATACAAAAAAAGCCCAAGAACTTTTTGAAGCCCCATTGTGCTACTGATGACATTAGAATTTAATATCTTATATGTCTAGGTGATGCTAAAATTTTACACATGCAATTTAAATTGATTAATTTGACATTCCTTAAATTGTCTAATAAGGAGCTCTGGTAGCATAGTGATTACGAATTGGGTTACTAATCTCACGATCAGCAGTTCGAAACTACCAGCTGTTCCAAACTACCAGCTGTTCCATGGGAGAAAGATGAGGCTTTCTGCTCCCGTAAAGATTTACAGCCTTGAAAACTCTGTACAGGGTCGCTATAAGTCGGAAGCGACTCCATGGCACATAACAACAACAAATTGTCTAATATTTATGTCTTTTCTTTGATATTATCAAGAAAAGGTAAAGTTCTCATTTTTGTTCTATAACAAACTGACCTATATGTGTTTTAACTTAGAAACTGTCACTGTTGACCTCAACTATGATTTTTAACAATGATCTAAACATTTTCATGAATGTCAAATTCTTGCAGATGTTCACATGTATCCTCCTATGAAGTTATTTCAGGCTTCCCGGCCTTCACTCAATTTACTTGACTCTTCTGATTCCCGACAGGAGGACCAGGTAAATTTGCACATCAGGTATTTTTCTCAGCATTTTCTGAAACTGCCATCCTTATGGAAAATAATAGAACTAGCCATTATAGTTTCTGTTAGTAGCCTGTTGATGTTGGGTACCATTGATTTCGTTTTGTCTCATAACAACCCTATACACAACAGAATGAAACACTGCTAAGTCCTGTATCATTCTCACATTTGTTGATAGGTTTAAGCCCATTGTTGCTGCCACTGGGTCAATCCATCTCCTCTTTTTCACTGACCCACCACTTTACCTACCTAGCATTGAGGTGCAATCCATACTGAAAGCTGTAGTCTTTGACTTTCATCAGTGTTTAAAGTCTTCTTTGCTTACAGTAACTAAGGTTGTGTCATCTGCATGTCATAGGTTGTTAATGTGTCTTCCTCAGTTCCTGATGCCAAGCTCTTCTTCATATAATCTAGCTTCGCAGATTATTTGCTCAGCATACAGACTGAATAAGTATGGTGAAAAAATATAACCCTGCTAATTTTTAACCACTTAGTATCCCTTTGTTCTGTTCTAATGACTGCCTCTTGGTCTATGTACAGGTTCCTCATGAGCATAATTAAATGTTCTAGAATTCTCATTCTTCGCAATGTTATTCATACTGTGTTATGATCCACACAGTTGAATGCCTTTACGTAGTCAATAAATCACAGACAAACTTCTTTCTGGTATTCTTTGGTTTCAACCAAGTTCCATCTGACATCAGCAATGATACCCCTCATTCTATCTATAGATCATTTTTTGGTAATTAACATCTTAACAATATTAAGTCTTCCAATACATGAACGTGGAGCATGTTTCCATTTACTGAAGTCTCTTTTGTCTCTTTCAACAGTGTTCTATGATTTTCATTGTATAAATCCTTCACATCCATGGTTAAATTTATTCCTAAAGAGTTTTCTGTTAGATACTATTATAAATGGAATTATAACCCTAAATTTCCCTTTCAGATTTCTTATTGCTGGTATATATAAACCCAGTTAATTTTGTTGTTTACCTTGTAACCTTAAACTTTACTAAATTTCTATATTAGTTGTAGACATTTTCTTGTGGGACTCTGGAATTTTCATAACAAGCAATCTTACTTGTTCTTTTCAAATTGGGTTACCATTTATTTCTTTTTCTTTTTCATTGCTATGGCTAGGATTTCTAATACTCTAGTAAATGGAAGTGATGAAAGTGGGCAATGTTGTCTTGTTTATGATTTCAAGGGGAAAGTTTTCAAGTAAAATGTTGGCTATTGGCTTCTCATTCATGCCCTGAACCATAGTGAGAACTTCCTCTTCTATTAAAATCTTCTTTGGGGTTTCATCCAAAAAGGATGTTGGATTTTATCAAGTTTTTTTTGTTGGCTTTTTTGTTTGTTTGTTTGTTTGTTTGCAAAGGAAAGTGGTCTAGGGCCCAGCTGGAGAAATTGGTCTGGGGGTGGGTGGGAAGGAAGACATTTTAAGGTAGAGAAAGGGGGACTAGAAAGACACTCATTACACATATCTTCAACTAGCTCAGTCAAGTATAAGTGAGAAAGAGTTTGATCTGAAAGCTACATACCAAAGTATTCATCAGCAGTTACCTTTGGTGAGTGGGTAGAAATGGAAAGAGGAAGACTTTTCACTTTTATTTGATGATGTTGTTGATTTTAGGTGCCATCCACTTTTTTCTACCTCCGAGAAATCCTGTGCCCAACAGAATGAAACATTGCCTAGTCATACACCTGCCATACAATTATTGTCATCTTTGAACCCATTGTTGTAGCCACTGTGTCAGTTCATCTCATTGGGGGAGGGGGTCATCCTCTTTTTCATTTACACTCTACTCTGCCTTCAGATAGCATGTACAAAGTATGTGAGATGACGTCTCACCATCATAGCTTCCAAGGAGCATTCTGGCTGTGTTTTTTCCATGACAAATTTGTTTGTTTTTCTGAGAGCCATGCTACTTTCAATTTTCTTTGTCAACACTACAATTCAAATGCATCAATTCTTCTTTGGTCATCCTTATTTATTGTCCATATTTCACATGCAAATGAGTCAACTAAAAATACCATTGCTTAGTCCTCAAAGTGACATCTTTGTGTCTTTTGCAACAGATTTGCTTAATACAATAAATTGTTCAATTTCTTTACTGTAGCTTCCATGAACATTGATTGTGGATCCAAGTAAAACTAAATCCTTGACAACTTCAATCTTTCCCCCATTTATTATAATGTTGCTTACTGGTCCAGTTATGAGAAATTTTGCTTTCTTTCCATTAAGATGTAATACATACTGAAGTTTATATTGTTTGAAATTTATCAGTAAATGCTTCAAGTCTTCTTCATTTTCAGGTACCAAGGTTGTATCATCTATGTATTATAGGTTGTTAATGAGCCTCTTCCTGTCCTGATGTCATGTTCTTCATGTAATTCAACTTCTCTGATTATTTGTTCACCCTACAGATTGAATAAGTATGGTGAAAAGATACAACCCTGACACACACCTTTTCTGATTGAAAATCATTCAGTATCCCCTTCTTCAGTTTCATCTGTGTACAAGTTCCTTGTGATCACAATTAAGAGTTCCAGAATTTCCATTCTTCTCAATGTTATTCATAATTTGTTATGATATCACAGTTGAATGCCTTTGCATAGTCCATAAAGCACAAGCAAACATCTTTATAGTATTCTCTGCTTTCAACCAAGATCCATCTGATGTCATCAGTAATATCCCTCAGTCTGTACCTTCTTCTGAATCTGGCTTGAATTTCTGATAGCTCTCTGTTGATGTACTGCTGCAACCATTTTTTAATTATCTTCAGCAAAATTTTACTTGCATGTGATAATAATTACTCTGTTCAATGATTACCACATTTTGTTGAATTATCTTTATTTGAAGTGGGCATAAATATGGATCACTTCCAATTGATTGGCAAATTTCTTGGCGTAGATGAATGAGTGCCTCCAGCTCTGCATCAGATGGTTGAAATATTTCAATTTGCATTCCATCAATTCCTGGAAACTTGTTTTACTGTAGTTATTGTTGTTTTTTAAAATGTTTTGTTGTGAATTATGTGATAGCTTACATGGGAGAACATTTGCTTTACATTCATCCTATTGTATATCATTTCATTACCATGGTTACAATCCTCTCCATGCATCATCAACCAAGCAAAGTTATACCCTACAAGCCTGCCCCTGGTCGTCAGCATACAGTCCCTCTCCCTCTCTGGATCTAGTCTCCCCAGCTGCTCCATCTCTCCACGTCATCATCTCTGCCTCCATCTCTGTTGTCACTGTTTCTCTAGGTAGGGTCCCACACTCCACTGTTCTCCCTTGGTGGTCCTAGGGACCACCGCACCTGGACTGCAAGATTAATCACTCCCCTCCTTTCCTAAAAAATGTCTACCTTTACATTCCCAACCTTCACAGTCAGTCCTGATAGCAATTATTCACTATTGTGCCACATGAGTGTTATCCCCATCTCCTTTCATCAGCCCCACCCAGACAGATTGGATACTACTCAATGGTGATTCTACCTTCCTCAGCGCCCTCTGGATCTAGGCTCCCTCTTGAAAGCTTGTAAGCCAGTCACTTCTTGTAGCTCCCTCCCCCCTTTTGGGTAGCCAATGTCCAAGATGCCCATCCCTGTCTACCCTGTGTATTGAGGGGGTGGGAATGATCCTCACTGTAAACATGTATTCCCGCTGTTGAGCTACTGCATCCATATAGGTGTAGGTCAAGTTCATCAAAGTACATCAGATTACTCTTTTTTTCCTCTTCTTTCTTCTTCTAGTTGAGTTCTGATCATCCAGCCATTGAAGCCAGGTCAAATGGGTATTATCTGCAATTGTGGGTGCTCTAGTGCATATGGCCTCTCTTCTTATCAGCTGGACGCTTTACTCTACACTCTAGTCCTCTGTGGCTATGTCACTGTCTCTGTGCCCAAGAGTCCCCAGGTCTTACCATACTGCTGGCCAACCAGGTCTCTACCCAAGTTCATAGGAGTCTATTGAACGTGATAAGGCTTAACTCTCAGCTTCATTGCTGTTTTTCCCTCACTTCCTCTTATTGGTGACCAATGAGCAGTCAGAGTACATGTCTGCTCGTGTATTCCCATTGAGTCAGTCTTGGAAGGGGTTTGCCCTGTGAGTACCCAACCACTTGCCTTGATGTCTCCTGGGTGAGCAACTTGCTTGTTCTTGTAATAGTCAGTCACACTGCCATTATTGTTTTGTATTTTTCCTGTCAGTCTTTCTTTCAAGAAGTATCTTCTGTTCCACTAGCTGCTCCAGGCTGGTCTGCTTGTCCTTTCAAGTGGAAATTTCCCACCTCTGAATATTCTGGATGCTGTTTAGGATTCCACCTATGGTCTTATGCAATGCAGAGGCTCTGCAGGAAGCCTCCTTCACTGGGCAAGTTGTAGCTCCATTTTAGGTATTCCAGTCAGTTATAGGCAGAAGACGGACTTACAAGCTTTCTATGGTGATATTTCTGGCTATTCCTTTCTCTCCCCCTCAAGGGTCTATTTTATAATGATATGCAAGGGAAACCAAGATTCAAAAGACAGCCAAGCATCTTAACATTGTTTTCCCCCTTTTGCCCATTCCAACCATGCCTCAATCCCTATATCCCAGAGCCCTGTTGTACCAAGGTTGTGCATACATCATTATTTACCTCTGTCCCACTTAGCCCATGCAAACCTGCTTAATTGTTCTCCCATCCACCTTGTTATTCCATTCCCATCTCCCTTCTTGTGTATTGCCCCCCTCCCCAGCACCCAAATTATCTTGTGTCTATTCCGTACCTTGTACTCTACCTTCCCCTCCCTCCCCTCACCCCAACCCCTACATCCCTGTAACCAGCAAAGAATCCCTACCCCCCTTAGTATGGGTTGTTTTTCTTAGTCTTTTACAATAGTGGCTGAAGCCTTGTTTTTTGCCAAAGCATTCAGTGCTGGCTAGTCTTCTTGCTTCAATACCATTTCTTCTTGAACATATGCTACCTCTTGAAATGATTGAACATCAAACATTTCTTTTTAGTACAGTGACTCAGAGTATTCCTTCCATTTTTTTATACTCGTTTTGTGGTGGTAGGATGGTAGGAGTAAGGAGTGAAGATTAGGTTTGTGACTATGGACAGATCTAGGCTAGGCCTAGGACTTTGTTTATTGTTAGGGTTATGGTTAAGATTAGGGTAAATGTTAAGACTTGAGCTAGGGCAGAAATAAGGCTTGGTCTAGTTTTTACAGTTGCAGTTAGATTTCAAGAAAAAAATAAAAATAAACCTATTTGATTTCATCTTCATTTGGAAGTTCTGAAATTGAATTATTCCTTGTTTTTACAGTATGGTGTTTTTGTTGTTGGTGTTGCAACTGTATTTGTGACCCTCTCTCTATATTCAGTTTTATACAATTGTTTTACTTTGCATACTTCTATATCTGGGCTGAGTCTAAGTGATATTGTCATGTATGTTAGTCTCCAGATATTGTCTGCAGTTGTTAGTTCTCTTTCCAAAGAATTCCCCTTAGTATTTTTTGTAAGGTTGATCTGGTTTATATAAATTCTTTTAATTTCTGTTTGTCTGAAAATGACCCAATTTCACTGTCATATTTGATGGACAGTTTTACTGGATATATGATTCTTGGTTGGCAATTTTTTCTTTCATATATTGTTGTTGTTGTTGTTAGGTACCAGCGAGTTGGTACTGACTCATAGCGACCCTATGGACAACAGAAAGAAACACACTGCCTGGTCCTGGGCCAACCTCACAATTGTTGCCACGCTTTAGCCCATTGATGCTGCCACTTTGCCAATCCATCTCGCTGGGGATCTTCCTCTTTTTCTCTGACCCTCCACCTTACCAAATATGATATCCTTCTCCAGTGAATAGTCCCTCCTGACAATATGTCTGAAGTATGAGAGATGAAATTTGGCCATCCTGGCCTCCAAGGAGCACTCTGGCTGCACTTCTCCCAACACAGATCTGTTGGTTCTTTTGGTAGCCCATGACACTTTCAATATTCTCCCCCAACACCATAACTCTTCTACTGTCCAGCTTTCACATAAATGTATATATATCATTCCATTGTCTTCTTACCTGAATAATTTCTACTGATAAATCAGATTTAGTCTTATTAGATCTCCTTTGTAGGTAATTTTTCATTTTTCTTAAGCTGCTCTCAGGATTCTTTCCTTGTCAAAATTAAACATTTTGAAATGTTTGATTATATTAAGTCTTGGTGTTTTTCTCTTCAGGTCTACCCTATTTGGGGTTTATTCAACTTCTTGAATATCTATCTTCTCAACTTTTAGGGACTTCTTTTCCAAAAACTCTTGGACAATGTTTTCCATGGGTTTCTTTGTCTCTTCATTTTCTGGAATTTCTATCACATATAATTTTTTCCTCTTGATAGTGTCCCACATAAATCTTAGGCTTTCTTTGGATTTTTGTTCTTTTTTTCTGGTTGTTCTTCTAACAAATCAATATTGAGAAATTTTCTTCAAGCTCAGTAACTTGGGTTTCCATTGATTCAATTCTATTTCTTTGCTCTTTCAGTGTATTATCTATTTTTGAAATATTAGTGTTAATCTTCTATCTTTCTAGTTGCTGTTTTTTGTATGTTTCCTTTTTTTTTTTTTTCAATTATTTTGACAGTTTTTTTCCTGAGTTTTTCCATAGTTTTGTCTATGTTTTCCTTGATTTCATGTGTAGTCTTAATTTTTTTCTCAATCTTTCAAAGTTACTTAATTAACATTCTTTGAAATTTCTTATAAGATAGTTCCAATACCATTTCTGGTATTTTATTATTTGACTCTGTGTTTTGGTCACTTGTTTGAGATACTCTGTATTACTTTTTTGTGTAAGCTGAAATTGTCTGGTTTCTTTGAGTCATTGTGGTATTTATATTTAGTTAATGATTGTATTTTGGTGTATTCTCAGGCACTCTCCACCTGTCTCCTGGTAAATGTGGCAGATAATGAAGTTGTAAACACAATTAGTTCTCTGTTCACTTTGTGTACAGGCAATATGGGTTCACATGCCTCCAGCAGCAGAGGCATAATGCCAGGTGCCTGACTCCAGACAGAGAAGAGGCTGTGCAGGTGGGTGTGCCACTGGCCATGTCCCCAGCTACCAGAAGCATACAAGAATAAAGGAGAATTGCAACCCCTTGTCATCACCCTCCAGTCATGTCCTGTGCCCACAGGCCACTGTATCAATAGCCTCTCCAAAAGCTTACAGTCCACCTGTTTTTCTTTTATCTCACTACTCTTGTTCAGCTTCCTCTTCTAGTTGACATTCAATCCACCTCTCTTACCCATCTTCTGATGCTCAGGATTCCAGTATAACCTTCTGTATCTATTTCACTCATTCTCTTGTGCCTTGTTCCAAACGGTCAACTCAATGTGTCTGCTTACTCCACGATCTTGCTCTGGAATCCTCTATTTGCAGCTTCTTTTGATGATTCCTGCATTGTTCAACATTTTGCCTATAGAATCTTTCGATATTGCACATTAAGGCTTGAATATTTTCTTCATTCTTTCAACTTGAGAAATGATAAGCATGTTCATAACTTTCGGTTTCCTTTCTCCAGGTCTTTGCACATTTCATTATAATACTTTGTCTTCTTGAGCTGCCCTATGAAATTTTCTGTTCAGCTTTTTTACTTCATCACTTCTTCCTGTTGCTTTAGCTTCTTTATATTCTAGAGCATTCTTTTTATTTTCTTCTGACACCCATTTTGGCATTTTCTTTCTTTCCTGCCTTTTCAATGACCGTTTTTCTTTCTTCATGTATGATATTCTTGTTGTTGTTGTTGTTGTTAAGTGCCGTCGAGTCGGTTCCGACCCATAGCGACCCTGTACAGGGTTTCCGAGGGTGTAAATCCTTACGGGAGTAGAAAGCCTCATCTTTCTCCCGCGGAGCGGCTGGTAGTTTCGAACCGCTGACCTTAAGGTTCGCAGCCCGATTCGTAACCACTACGCTACCAGAGCTCCTTAGTGTCATGTTATTTTTAGTTTGCTTTTTAAATGAGCACATTCTCTAGCCAGGTTTTAAGAAAAGTTGATTTGTATATCATAAATCTTGAAAGTAGAATAATTTTCGAGCAATAACAGGCAGTGTTTCATTCTGTTATTCATGAAGTTGCTTTAAGTCAGAACTGACTTGATTGTAGGATAAGCACTGCACTGCTAACCATAAGGTCGGCAGGTAAAACTCACCAGCTACTCCTCAGAAACCCTATACAAGGCCACTATGAGTTGTAACCAACTCAACAACACTTAACAATAATAACAAAAATATAATGTTTTTGCTGTGCTTTGTATTAACTTTAAGGAATTCCTCTGGCAAAAGTTTAAAGATAAAAAGTTGACTCACTCTAGTGCTTTAAACTGAGCACATTATCAACTAAACTTCTTTTCTTCTTTTCTCAAACTAAAGGTTCCCTCTATTCATGTAGAAATGCATCTTCCTAGAGACCAGTCAGGGGAGGTGGACTTCAAAACACTGGTTTTACAGTTAAAGGAGAACTCAAACTTACAAGAGCAAGCCGATACACTCTACATGCTCTACACCATGAAGTAAGTTATGGATATTATAAATCTACTTTTCTGTTCATATAAAAATAAAGTATAGCATAGTAGATAGTGCATAGCTTTGGAGTCTCATAGATCTAGATTTGAATATATTTTTACAACCTACATACTATGTAACTTCAAAGTCTCAATTGACCTTACCTATAAAATGCAGATTATACCTACCTAATAGAACTGTTACAAGGATTAAACCAGATATAATATCTATATTCCTGATGTGGCACTGTGGGATAATGCACTGGACCACAAGTTCAGTTGAATTGCAAAGACGGCGATTCAAATTCATCAGCTGTTCCTCAGAAGCCCTATCCAGGGTCTCTAGAAGTCAGAAACAACATAACAGTACTTAACAACAACAAAAAAATACCTATAAAATCACTAATATAATATCTGTCACATAATAGTTGATCAATAACTGATAGCTATACATAGATCAAGAGTCAGTCATTTGAATAGAACAAAGCATCACTGAATGGTTTTAAATTGGGAAAGGTGTGCACCAGGGTCGTATTCTATCATCATACACATTCAGTTTATATGCTGGGCAAATAATCTGAGAAGCTGGATTATATGAAGAAAAACATGGCATCAGGATTAGATGAAAACCCATTAGCAACTTGCAATACACTGATGATACAACTTGCTTACTGAAAGCGAAGAGGACTTAAAATGTTTACTGATGAAGATCAAAGACCACAGCCTTTGGTATGGGTTGCACCTCAATGTAAAGGAAAAAAAAAATCTTAACAACTGGACCAATAAATAATATCATGATAAATGGAGAAAAGATTGAAGTTGTCAAAGACTTCATTTTACTCAGATCAAACATCAACACTCATGGAAGCTGCAGTTAAGAAATCAAACAACTTATTGAATTAGGCAAGCTTACTGCACAAGACCTCTTTAAAGTGTTCAAGAGCAAAAATGACACTTTGAGGACTAAAGTGCACCTGACCCAAGCCATGGTATTTTCAATAGCCTCATATGCATGTGAACATTGGACAATGAATAAGGAAGATAGTAGAAGAACTGATGCATTGGAGTTATGGTGTTGGAGGAGAATATTAAAAGTACCATGGACCACCAAAAGCCCAATCTTTGTTGACAGAAGTACAGCCAAAATGCTCCTTAGAAGCCAGGATGGCCAGACTTCGTCTCTCATACATCAAACACACTGTCAAGAGGAACCAGTCCCTGGAGAAGGATTTCATGCTTGGTAAAATGGAGGGTTGGAGAAAAAGAGGAAGACCCCAGTGAGATGGACTGGCACTGTGGCAGCAGCAATGGGCTCAAGGTTGGCTCAGGACCAAGCAGTGTTTCATTCTATTGTGCATAAGTTTCTATGAGTTGGTACTAACTTGAAGGCACCTGACAACAACATAAAAATTGTTATCTGTATTATAATTGATATCAAAAAGAAAACCAAAGCAAACCCACTGCCATCTAATCAATTCCTATTCATCTTGGCCCCATGTGTTATAAAGTAGAATTTCTCCATAAGGTTTTCTTGACTGTAATCTTTACAGAAACAGCTCAACAGACCTTTCTTCCACAGTGCAGTCACTAAGTTGGTAGCTGAGCACATACCATTTGTATCATCCATTGTTGTTGTTGATGTTATTAGGTGTCATCGAGTGGGATCTTGTATATGTGCATGGTGGTGGTGGTGTGTCATGAAGACTCAGAGCGACCCTGCATAGGGTTTCTGAGGCTGTAAATCTTTACAGGAGCAGAAAGCTTCATCTTTCTCCTATGGAATGGCTGGCAGTTTCAAACTGCTGCATAGGTTCTTTGTTGTGACCCTGTATAGGGTTTTGGAGGCAATAAATCTTTACAGTAGCAGAAAGCCTCATCTTTCTCCTGTGGAGCAGCTGGTAAGTTTGAACTGATGGACTTATGGTTAGCAGTCCAGTGCTTATCCTACAACTCCAGAGCTCCTTTAAATTTATCTCTTTTTGTTGTTGTTAAGTCCATCAAGACAGTTCCAATTCATAGCGACCATTTATAGAGTTTCTGAGGAGCATCTGGTGGGTTTGAACCACAAATCTTGCAGCTCAAACTGACCTTGTGGTTCATCCTGCAGTGCCAGCCTGGGCCATGTGAATTCAGACTAAATATCTTCCTCCACAACAGGCTCAGCTAAAGACAAAAAAAAAAAACCTAGCTTTTTAAATTCATTTGCATATATTTTGACTTGCCCAAGAGATCTGAAAAACAGTGGGCAGCCAAATTCCTCCAGGGGAGTCATTTTTCCCTATATCAAGATGAAGTAAAAAATTTTAAAGGAAGCTTATTTTTGCAATATCTAAAGTGTTGACAAAGATTTTTATTTAAAGTGTGGTACAAATGAAAAGACCTGTTGAAATGAAAGCATTTCATTCATTCTCTGAAATGAACACAAACATGGGAAAAATTAAAATATAACTTAAAAAAGTATTCTTAATTCAATAATATTATTGGCAGGCAAAGTCCTACTTTTGTAAGTGTTATCATTTTATTAAGCTTTATTTTATATCAGTCAAAGTAAATGACTTTTCTAAAGAACACTCTTCAAATGAACCTTATATAAGTCTCATGGGGGCAGGAATAAAATTAAACCGGTTTATGTTTCCCCTTATGATATTATATGTTGCAGTAGCATAACATTTTAAAAACGACACTATGATAAACAAAGCAATACATATACATATATGTTGTTGTTGTTGTTAAGTGCCATCGAGTTGGCTCCAACTCATAGCGACCCTATGCACAACAGAAGGAAACACTGACCAGTCCTATGCCAACCTCACAATTGTTAAGCTTGAAGCCATTGCTGCAACTATGCCAATTCATATTATTTGGGGGTCTTCTTGTTTTGCACTGACCCTCCACTTTAACAAGTATGATGTCCTTCTCCAGGGACTGTTTCCTCCTGATAATGTGTCTGAAATATGAGAGACGAAATCTGGCCATCCTGCCTTCTAAGGAGCATTCTGGCTGTACTTCTTCCAATACAGATTTGTTTGTTCTTTTGGCAGTCCATGGTACTTTTAATATTCTTCTCCAACATCATAACTAAAATGTATCAATTCTTCTATAGTCTTCTTTATTCACAGTCCAACTTTCACATACATGTGACGCTACTGAAAATATCAGTTATGTACATTTTATTTGGATTCAGTCGGTGGAGGTGGTGTACCCTTAGCTATAATTTCTTCACACATTCAACAAGACAAAAAATACCTTGGGCACAACTCTGTTTAGATGATCAAGACACAATTCCAGTGAAAACATAATAAAACCAACTTGAATGATAGTAAAAGTAAAAAACAAAACACCACATGGGATCTAGGGCTATAATAAAATACCCTTACACATACCTCACTCATTCAGACTCCATCTGCCTTAACGCCCTCAAACTTAATTGAATCTCACCAGCCTCTCCTCAGAAACACTATACATGGTTGCTGTGCGTAAGAACCAACTTGAAGGCATTTAAGAACAACATAAGAGGAGTCTGGTATGGCACTTAGCAACAACAACATAAGAATAGTCATTCTACTCACAGGATAGTCTATTTACATTCTTGTTCAAACCATAAAGGACAATGAGGATTCTATATGTTCCTGTCTAACCGTTAAAGTATTTAGGCACTTCTACATCATTGTCCAATCTGTAAAGTACAAAGTGGATCCCATTCTAAAAGAGAGTTATTGTAGAACTCTTTTAATTTGCTCTGATTTGTAGTGCCACAGAAAAAGAGTTATAGATTTCCTGTAATCTTTCACATCCAACATTCCCAACCTTACTTATTTACCACATGCTTACTGATTAATGACCAGTAGTGCCTCAGCAGATTCTGCTCTGTTGGCAACCATCCACAGAAAACTCTCACATGAAATAGGTCGACATTTCCCAACTCTGCTGTAGGGGCCACAGCATCTCAGGAAGCCATTGCTGTTTTGTGCTGTGCTGTCGAGTTGGTTCCAACCCATAGCAACCCCATATAGGGTTTCCAAGGAGCGGCTGGTGAGCTGGAACTGCTGACTTTTTGGTTCAAACTGACTTTGCAGTCTAGCACATTAACCCACAGCACCACACCAGGACTTCCAAACAGCTATGTTGTTGTTGTTAGGAGCCATCGAGTCAGTACCGACCAATAATGACCCTAAGTATAACAGAACGAACCACTGCCCGATCCTGGGCCAACCACAGTATTGTTGTGACGCTTGAGTCCATCGATGCTGCCACTTTGCCAATCCATCTCACTGGGGATCTTCCTCTTTTTCTCTGACTCTTCACCTTACCAAACATGATATCCTTTTCCAGCAACTGGTCCCTCCTGACAATATGTCCGAATTATGAGAGACGAAGTTTGGCCATCCTGGCCTTCAAGAAACACTCTGGCTGCACTTCTTCCAACACAGATCTGTTGGTTCTTTTGGCAACCCACAGCACTTTCAATATTCTCCTCCAACACCATAACTCAGAAGCATCAATTCTTCTACTGTCTTCCTTATTCGAACAACTGTCTCTTGGTCCAGGTACAGATTCCTCATGAGCACAATTAAGTGTTCTAGAATACTCATTCTTTGAAATTTTTTCCATAACTTGTCATGATCCACACAATTGAAAACCTTTGCATAGTCAATAAAGCACAGGAAAACATATTCCTGATGTTTTCTGCTTTCAGCCAATATCCCTCATTCCATGGCCTCTTCTGAATCTGACTTGAACCTCTGGAAGTTCTCTGTCAATGTATGCTTGCAGCTGCTTCTGTATTACCTTTAGTAAAACTTTACTCACATGGAATATCAAAGATATTGTCCGATGATTTGCGCATTCCATTGGGTCACCTTTCTTTGGAAACGGCACAAATACGGATCTCTTCCAATCAGTCAGCCAGATAGTTGTTTTCCAAATTTCTTGGCAGAGATGAGTATGCTGCCTCACTTTCTTGAAAGATTTCAATTTTTATTCAACCAATTCCTGTTGCCTTGTTCTTT